TGTGTGTGTGTGTGTGTGTGTGTGTGTGTGTGTGTGTGTGTGTGTGTGTGTTTCCCACTGGCTTCTTTTGGAACTTCCTACCTCCCCAGCCATAAAGACATAATCCATAATAAACTTAGGTGTTTCTACAAATAAGAAACTGATGGAGCAGGAGGATCATTCTTGTGATGGAGCAGGAGGGTCATCTTGTGATGGAGCAGGAAGGTCATTCTTGTGATGGAGCGGGAGGGTCATTCTTGTGGTACTGTCCTGGACACTCTTGTGCAATCTCTGAGTCACCAGTCCCTCAAAGATCTGTCCATTATCATCATCCCAAGGTCATCCTCAGATTTCAATTCAGATAGAGGGCTTTACATATATAACTACTGTTGTTCAACTGGGTGTCCATGGAGACTGAGAAACTGGTTTGTTGCCTAGAGAAGAAGAAATAAAAACCAAATCACTTGGTGTCTGTGTGGTTTCTATGAAGCTAGGGAAATTTTTTTGCAAGTGATAAAAATATGGATAGCTAAAACTACCAATTCCTTTGGTTAATTCTAGATCTTATCAGAAAATAAAGTCCATATATGCTACTTTTAAAACATGAAAATATTCTGTCCAAGGGGTGTTGGATTCTCAAGTTATTTGGGTCTTAGTTATATTGGAAACCACTCTGTTAAAAAGCAACCAATATATGCCACAAAATCTAATAGGCTAAAGACTTTGGATGTATTACATATGGAAAATGTTTCTCATCCACAAATTCAACAGAGTTCCAAGTATGAAAGAAAAAGCTAGTATTTAATAAGGGTGGAGGAGGCTGGAACACCTAGCCATTAATCCTATGGAAATATTTGTCATGCATATGTGGTTTAGGGAATTGGATAAAAATAGAACCTTCCTCAGAATCTGTTAGTCTGGGCATGGGTCTCTATCTATCAGAACAAGTAAATATGACATCGCAGTAGACAGGGGACTTGTACAATGAGTCCCCCGATGAACAGAGGTGTAGATGTGACAGCTTGGCATATGTCAACATGATTTCACAGAATCTATTGGCCTACCATCAGACTGAGAACAACTCCTGGCCAACCTCCTTTCACAGTTAATACACAAAATTAGCCAGCCCAAGAAAAGTGTCACACATGAGTTACAACCAAGAAAGGGTTGGCCTGACTTCAGCTCTTCAGCATGTAGGAGAAGTAATGCTATTTGTTTCAGGATAGTTAGGGGAAATGCCTATAAACATTCAACTTCGGACAGGAAAAACTGAAATTGGTTGTATGCATGACTCAGAAATGAAAATGCTCACAGAGGCCAAGTAGGTAACGAAAATGAACGTAAGGCCCTGAGTGAAACAAGAGACTAGTGTGATGCTGAATGCCGTGGTACCCAGGCCAGCAAAGGGAAAAGCAGAGCTCTGGCTGTAGCTGCGTGGACATTTCCTGAAAAGCAGTTTCACTGCTCCAGTTACCCATTTGATGCCATGTGCCCCAATAGTTCAAAGAGGCTGGAGTTTGTTTCTCTACAACTTAGTAGAGTCTCTACAATGATCTACTTATTCAAGGAAAAGAATACCTAAACTTATACAAATACAACTGACTACAACAAATACACAAATTATCAAAGCAGCTTTTGTATAAAATGCAAATTTATTTAAAAATGTGATTTTGTAGCTGGGCAGTGGTGGCACACTCCTTTAACCCCAGCACTTAGGAGGCAGAGGCAGGCAGATCTCTAAGTTCAATGCCAGCCTAGTCTACAGAGTGAGTTCCAGGACAGCCAGGGCTACACAGAGAAACCCCATCTTGAAAAACCAAAAAAAAAAAACAGAAGAAAAGTGATTTTTGTGCCAATTTATACACTGCTAAATATATATATGTATATATATACATATATATATGTATGTGAGTATACACACATACACACACACACACACACACACACACACACACACACACACAGCCCAGAGAAAAGAAAAAGGAAAGCTGAAATATAGGATGTGAATAGTGGAAGAGCAGGGAGAAAATATTGCTTCTTTTGCTCTGTCTGTGTGTGCATGTGCATGTGTGTGGTGTGTGTGTACATGTACATATATATACATGCGTGCTAATAGAGGCCAGAGGGCACCCTTGGGCATCATTCTTCAGGAGTCATCCATCTTGTTTTTCTGAGATAGGAACTCAGACTAGACCTCAGGCTCACTAAGTAGGCTAGACTGGCTGACGCTAAAAGGATATGCCACCATACCTGGCATTTCATATAGGTCCTAGGGAACTGAACTCAGGTCCTCTTGATTGTGTGGTAGCAGTTTACTGACTGTGCTATCTAGCCAGCTCCTGGCCTGCCTTTTTCTTCATTCTCCTAGAAGACTTCCTGTTAAGGCTAATCTTGGTTGTCAACTTCATTACATCTGGAATGGCTAAAACCCAACCAGTTGGGCACAGTTGTGAAGGATTTTTTTCTTGATTAGATCATTTGCTGTGGGAAGACTCACCTTAACCCTGGATCATTTGACCTGGATCAGAAGACCCACTTTAAATCTGGGCCACTCCTTCTGGTGCCAGTCTTTATATAAGAACGCAGAAGAAGAGAGCCCTTGCTTCTTGCCTGCCTGCCTTCACCCTCGCTGGGGAGTTCACCTGTCCTGCTGCTAAGGCATCCCCTCACTGGTAGAAAAGCCCACCTCTTTGGGATTCCAATGTATACCAGACACCAGCTGAAACATCCAGCCTCGTGGATTGATCAGCTACTGGATTCTTGAACTTTCCATCAGAAGACAGCCAATGTTGGATTAGGTAGACATAGACTTGTAAACTGCTTTAATAAACCATGTGTACATATGTGTGTGGTTACATATATATATAATATATCATATGCATCCATATAATCATTCTACCAGTTCTGTTCCTCTAGAAAACCATTATTAATACAACTCATCTGTATGTTTGAATTTGTTTAAAATTTAAGTAATCAAGAGATTGAGGTAAAAGAGTACTTGAGTAATTCTCCTTTGGCTTATGGAAAAATTTTCCTCATAAATATTTTTACTTCAATCACATAATTTTTCAATCCCAAATCTTCTGTTTTCCTGATACCTGCTAAATAAAGTCCAGCAAACAACAGCAGTAGCAAAGCAGGGTGTGAGAATTTTTAAATAATTTCTCTCCCTTTTCAACGATGGAATACATAACATCTAATTGGTAAGGCTATCTAATCCCTTAGACTTTGACTAATTGAGGACTCACCTTGCATAGACTGTTACCTTGATAAGGGATTGATAGGTCTCACTGTGGCTTAGAAAGAGGAGGTGAATCATTTGGGCCTATGTGAAAATCAACCAGAAAGTTTACATTGGATTTTACACATGTCTACTGAATTATTATTACAGACAAGACTTTGGAGAAGAAATGAAAATAGACATACACAGGAGAATGAGATACTATGACTAAGGCAGTATTAGCAACCTGTTAGACTTGTACAGCTAACAAGAACAGAAGCCATGGTCCTGCTGCAGCACAGAGGACCCACCATCAGGACACTGATCAATGCCAATGGTGACAATATGGGGATGCTTGGCATTCCAGTCACCTCCTCAGGGGTGGTGGCAACTCTGTCTACTAAGAAGTAATCTCACAAACTCACCTCACTCATAGACTGATGTCAAGGGAGGGGACAGTCCCTACCTGAGTCCCACACACTGTGAGCAGAGCTGTGTCCTGCTCACACTGTCTTGACAAATGAGAATCAATGGATAGTTTGCATATTTGTCCAATTTTCAGTTAAAGGCAAGCCAGAAAGGCCAGTTGAAACGTTTAACTGAATTTATTGAGAATTACAAGGGGGAAAAATATAAGTTCCTGGCCTATACAAAAAACACTACAAATATAGGATGGGAGAGGCTCTGTGTGTGTGTATGTGTGTGTGTGTGTGTGTGTGTGTGTGTGTGTGTGTGTGTGTGTGTAGTGTTTTTAAGAATCAGTCTTGAATTGACTTAAACTGATAGCCATAAAAAGAAGAAATGTAAAGTATTAATAAACAACATTTTCTCATACCAACTGAAGAAGTTAGCCCTTATTTCCCCCAATCTACCGCACTGATAGCATCAGGAAGCTGAGTATGTCTCAGTGCTGACAGAAGTCCACAGAAACAAGGATTTGAATATACTTCATGTGAAAGTGTGGTCTGACAGATCCTCCTGGAGCGATTGGTAGTGTGTAGTGAAAATTGTGAAAGATCAACATGGTTATGCGAGTCTATTATTCCATCATCGACCTTTTAGGAATTTCTTAGTTTAAATACTGAAGGATGCACATAGTTACTTATTCCTAGTCAATAACAACACTGTTAGTAACCACAACACACACAAACATGTATGCACAAAATGCTCCCCAGGGGGAAGGGTTATAATGACTGAAAAAACTGTGCTTCACACTATACATCAATTCAAAATGATATGAATGGAAGTTTATTAAGACCACCACAATATTTATGAAACCTACAGTCTACTCAACAGTATACAAATGTCAAATTCCTGATAATGTACTAACTGTAGTGATGTCAGGGTATTGTCATAATGAGAAAAATAACTGAAGGACACATGGACCTTCTTGCAATATTTTTCAAAAACTTCAAAAGAAAAAGAAGAATTAACTTGTTGAAACAAAGTTGTTTTGCCTGCAAAAAGGATATCAATTCATAAAGTATAACATGATTCTTTTAGAAAATTACATAAAATTCATGTGATAATTGTTCCGATGGTAAGTGGCTTTCTCTGGAGTCTGGTTTATAAGCATCTTCTCATCTAAATACAGCAACAAAGGAGGATTGTTATTGTTCTCACTTTACCAGTGCAGAATGGAATTAGGAAGACTGTACACCTTTGTTGGGTTTTTTTTTTTTGAGATTGTAATTTAATTGCAATATTTCTCTATTCCCTTTCCTCACTCTAAACCTTCCCATCTACCCTTCCCCACTGTCCATCAAATTAATGGCCTCTTTTCTCATTAATTGCTATTGCATGCATATATGTATGTGTAGACATACATATATTTCCAACCTGTTCTGTCCACACAATGTTACTCACATGCATGTTTTCAGGGCTGACCAAGAGCCACTGGAGTGCTCTTCCCTGGAGAGGCCTGCCTGCTCCTCTCCCAGCTTTTCTCAGTTGTCTGTAACTTTTTGTATAGGGTTAAGGATGGTGCACATTTCTCAATGCTACACAGCAGTGAGATTATGAATAAAGAAAGCCCTCAGCTGTGCTTTTGGCTGCTTCAAAACATTCAACACCCAATAGCTTTTTTTTTTTTTTTGCTATTTAAAAAGTTACATCCCAACTTTTGGTGATGTTTTTATGTTTTCTTATTAAACATGTATCATTTGTGTAATTAAAATAACAGGTATTCTTAAAGCCATTGGTGATTTGGTTAAAAACAGAGTCAGTGTCAGTCCATTGGGTGAAATAACTGTCAAACTAGCAAAGCTGGCCTCACTGACAGAAGAATGATTTAAGCTATACCACTCTTGGACATATACCCCAAATATTCTATAGCCTAATACAGAGATACTTGCTCATCCATGCTCATTGCTGCTCTATTCACAATTGACAGGAAATAGCCTAGATATCCATCAATGGAGAACTAAATAATGAAAATGTGCTTTATTTACACAGTGGGATATTATTTGGCTGTTAAGAAAAAAGAAATCATAAAACTTAAAGGTAAATTGATGGGGCTGGAAACAATCATTCTAAGTTGCACCCAAACCCAGAACCACAAGCATTGCATATTTTCTTTCATTTGTGGATATTATCTTTGGATCTTTAGATGTGTATATTTTATTTAAAATACCCATAGATGTCAGGGTAAGGGAAGAACACAGTGATACAAAAGGGAAAGGAGACTAGTGGAAGATCAAGGGTTAAATGGGATTGAGGTTTGGAGGACCAGGTGGAGGAGGGAGTACTAAAGACCCTTTGAAAAAGTCTGAAAACCTACTATCACAGGAGCTTCCTAACACACACACACACACACACACACACACACACACACACACACACACACTATAGACACGTTTAATACTATTACTGTGATTGCTCTCAGTTACTGGGATTGCTCTCAGTTACCCTCCAGAACTTGACGGTAAGAGCCTATTGCTGAAGACACCACATACATAGGACACAGAGAAATAAGTTGGTACTCACCTAGAAGTTTCATCCCTGCCAGTCTGACCCAACTGTGAACTGCCCAAGTATTAGTAACAACCATTCTGGCAATACTTGCCCACTGATGCGACAGTGGCATGAATGTCATGGTGATGACCAGCCACTTTCTGCTTGGACTTAAAGCCTGCTGCACAAGAGGGAACCCATACCTGGCACCATTACTAAGGCCCCAAATGTGTGGCTATGCATGCCACAGGCTCTAGGGAAGAAACTACTATTATCGTGCTCAATGGACATAGGTAGCAGTAAACTGATTCCTAATGGCCTATCATTACACTCTTACATTAGTGCATCTATCAACCTCATCAGGGAAACTTCTTTTTGAAGTAGATAACAACTAACGTGAAAACCCAGCATTTGCTACTAAGTTAAACTTGAGGGGGGAAATTTTTTTATCGGAAATCCATCTATATTTCTACTAAGAAAAAAAAAGAATGGATGAATGTAAACCAACTTAAGTTATAACATAAAAGACTCGTAAATCTTAGTGTGGTCAGGTTAGTAGAGAGGAAATGCGGGTTTCCAATGATCTACTCCTCAGCTGTCAGCTCAGTTTGGAATGGGAAGGGACAATGCCATTGTTTGCCAGGAGTCGAGTCAGGACGGTGGCCATATGCTAGAGCACCGGTTTGTTAGTTCCCACGGTGGCAAACTGCGTGACAATGTTGTTCCTCCAGAACGCCCAAATTCTATGTTTACCTTAAAGGCAGCTTTATTTGCTTTTCCCTCACTTTTTAACAAGATAAAAATTGTCAAGCACCTTTGGAGTGGGAAGACATACTCCAAAATCAAAAGCTAAAGAGGAAACAAAAGCTCCTTTGGGACTGTGCTAGTGGCCCTCGGATACAGTGACCACAGCTGCTCCTTGGTGTTGAGGATGATTGCCTGCCAACCTGAACAGCCGACATCCTCTAGAAGAACCACAAGTGGCTTTTAAGATGATAAGATAAAGCCTAGCTGCTGTATTTTATGACATAATTTGGCCGGGACCTCTTTGTAGAGTGCCACTGGCTGGCTTACTTTAAACAGCCATAAACATTTGATTATGGGGCCATTTGATTTAATGATTTATTTAGTTTTCAAATCACGAGGCTGTTTTCAAAACACTTTGTTGCCATGTTAAGCCTCTTTTACCCTATAGGGTTAATTATTGACATTGAAGTACAGTCGGGAGGGGAAAAAACCTGACAATGAGTCCCTTTCTAAAGGAAAACCACCTGGATGGAATATCATGTTCACTGCACTGTGCCACACAGCAGAGGCTTTTAAGTGGCCAGCCCTTTAAAATAACAAGCGTTCTGTATCGCAACCCTCCTAAGATGTAGTGCTTGCTTCCTTGCCATAATCAAACACACTTTAGTGTTTCAATGAATCACAAGCACTTTATAAATAAGTATGGTCCTGCGGTAGAGAGAGAGAGAGAAAGTGCTGAGAGAACTGTTGAGATCGGTGAACCATCTGCCTTTAGATCCACCAGCCTCCCATGGGAGTTTTACAACTGTATACTTTCCCTTTTCACTTAACCTACCATTGCTAATTTTCCTTCTTTTAACTCACTGTTAAATTTATTGTGTGCCAGAAGTCTGGGTCATTAATCTTACTAAAAGTGTATATACAAATGAAAGGGTGCCTGATTATGTAAGGGGTGAGAGATCTTGGAACACTTAGCCCTAAATAAGGTGTCTCCATCAAATTCTTCCCCTCAGAGTTCAAGGAAACCTCTGGAAGAGGAGGCAGAAAGAGTCTAAAAGCCAGAGGCGATGGAGGACACCAAGAAAACAAAGCCATCTAAATCAACAAGAACAAAGCTCATATGAGCCACGGAGACAGAGGCAGCATGCACAGGGCCTGCATGGGTCTGCAGCAAGTCCTCTACATATATTTTATGGCTTCCAGCTTAGAGGTTTTTTTTTGAGATTCCTGTGTGTGAAGGAGTGGGTCTCTGATTCTTGTGCCTTCTCTTGGGCTCTTTTCTTTCTGTTTGTTTGGTTTTTTTTCCAATTCCGATGTGTTAGTTGTTTTATCTTATTTTATTTGGTTTTGTCATATTTTATTTTATTATCCCTTAGAAGCCTGTTTGTTTTCTAAGGAGAGACTGAAAGGGGGTGGATCTGGATGAGAGAGGAGGTGGAGAGGAACTAGGGAGTAGTAGAGGGAGAGGAAACCATAATCAGGATATATTACATGAGATAAAAATCTATTTTCAACTATAAAGAAGAGGTGGTCTGTTTCTGCAGCTTGTTTATAGGTCTTGAGTGTGTATACAGTCTATGCCATAGCTTCTGAATCTAGACTGGAGGGGGTGGATTGGGTGACATTAATGCAAAACCAAGATGATTTGGTGGGGGGTGGGAGGACCAATAATAATTAGGGAGGGGTGAGGGGAGGTAGTTGGGAGGTGAACGTGAGCAACATGCTACATATAAGTATAAAAATAAAAATGTTAGCAAGGCATGGTAGCCCCCACCTTTAATCCCAGCATGAGCAAGGTGGACGGAGGCAAAGTACAAGTTCACAGCCACCCTCAGCTACAGACTGATTTGGAGGCCAGCCTCGGCTACA